CCAACAACACACTCCGTTTCCTTGATATTCTCATGACCAGAAGAGAAGACGGAACGATTGCTCGATCCGTTTATCGAAAGGAAATCTGAACAGGTCAATATTTATACTTCAAGAGCTTTATGTCTGTGGACTATAAACGTGGTCTTCTTCGGACCTCATTTGACAGAACGAGGCGAATCTGCACGGAAGACAAAATTGAACAAAAACTGCAAAACCTCCGGGAGATTTCAGTGAAAAACGCTTATCCCGAAGCGTTTGTTAATAAGTATAGTAAACCGAAAATCGCGAAAGAACCGATTACGTCAGTAGCCAAATNCGCCTGCTCTACAAACGACTGAGGTCAGCAATCGCTCGAACCTACTACGCAGCCGACCCCCAAATCGTCTACCGAACAACCAGGATACCCACACCCCCGGCAAAAGAACGTCTGCCTCTACGCCAACTCTAATCTAATCTACTAATTCCAATGTGGTTGCGGAGCAATCTACGTGGGCCGAACAGAGCGAAAATTACGCAATCGGGTGGTGGAACATATTCCGAATTGGGTGCAAAATCAGCTGACCCAATTGAGGTCAAGTCCGCGGCATAGAAACGACAGTCGAAACTACAAGACCCCGTCCTCAGCAATTGCGCGATATCTGCTGATGACGCAACACTAAGTCGACCGAGGCTCAGCGTTTCAAATTGTCTACAAGTCACAGGTCGCAAGATTGCTAAGGTTTGCCGAAGCGATTGCGATTAATCGATGGAAGCCCCCTTTGTGCCAGCAAAAAGAACTTTATGTTAGTCTCTCCCTACTCTGGCGATATTGGTCCTTCTAACCCTCCCTCTTTTATGTTTTGTCTGTTTTTAATGTATTTGCTTTACTTTGTTTCCATGCTAAAGCGCTATATAAACACTGTATTTTCTGCAGTATGCACCATGTTGAGATGCAGCGAAATCGTCCTGGACATAAATCGTGCAGTATTGCCATATGGTCTTTTCTTTTGATATTCTTGTATCGTCACTCAGCTTCTTTGCTGCTCCCCAAATTTTATTTGCCGGTCCCAGAGTTACGGTCTACAAAATTATACGTCGGTTTGTTGCAATTATTTCACGCATCATCGGTATTCCCGATGTAAATTTGTTCAACTATCACCGATAAACATTTTACATCTTGCGGAAAATCCTGTAACAATATTCTATCGGACATTCCTCACACATTACATACAGAACTTAAACAATGTGTCTTCAATTCCGTAACCAAGCATCATCATTATCTTGTGTTTACTCGGACTACTGCCTACCGTTCGTTTGTTATCCTATATCTTTCTGGATTTCTAGAAGAGAAAAAATCTGTAAAAGCTAGCCCTAGGTAAATGACATATATTTTCGCACTTTTAGGGAACCTTCCTTTCTTAAATTTAATTTCTCTTTGTGACTATCTGCAGAAACAAAGGACCCCGGGATGCACTAAGTTGAAAATCCATCTACCAGGATAATTAAGGTAACTTATGACTGGATTTAAACAGAGCAAAGCTGATGAATGTGTCATACCAAATTTCACTGGTTTCCTTTTTCAAATGAATCCTTCAGCATGAAATGAATTTTAACTGCCACGAATGAAGCTTCTTCTTCAAATCATGAATGGCATGGTACTAAAAATCGTATTGAGGAGAACACATTGACCATAATCACTAAGTGAAACTCTGCCAAAACGGAGTGCTGGATCAGTTTGGGATTTCAGACTTGTTCTCTGTTTCGTATAAAGATTACATTTAGCCGTTTTACGACGATGACTTGCACCGTAGTGATAAAGTGATTGCATGATTATGTGATTCGGACAGTCCCTGGGAGACGTGTTTCTGATTTAATCAATTAAGAGAACTAAGATGGAAACGAGTGATTACTGATACCCACTAAAATGGGAACCGAGAAAACGAATAAGCGACTTCAATAACTTGTCTTGTATTGCATATACATTTTCACAAAACGATATAAAACAGACTAGGTTAAAATTCTCTGGTGAGACAAGATACATCAATTAGTGTGACTCATTATTTCCATCTACGTGCAATTTTATTTCACGCTGGAAAATTTCTTCATATAGGCGGTTCTGTATATCGTGCCAAGAACGTGATTGAGTTTTACATTCCGCTTATTTGGCTACTTGGTTTGCTCAAAAAATGAATCTCAGCAAATTCGCGTGCTGATAATCTTCGACGCTGATGAACTTCTCCATCATACCGTGGCATGGTTTCCTTCGAATCGGACTCAGTGGAAACCTTCAATGTGGGAAGATCCATTCGAATCGGTTGTGCCAAACGTTGTCTAACAAGCGCCTCTAGTTCGAACAGATACGGATCGTAGCCTTCGGTCATGATGTAATTAGGTACCTCGGTTCGGAGAAACGCTGCCATGAGTAGGACGTATTCGCTATTGGCTCCTGAGATGCCGTAGGCGGACACAATTTGATCTGCCTATGGGAAGAGTAACCAAAACAGACTTGATATGGTAAATCCAAAGAAATGTCGAGATGGAAGCTGGGTTTTGACTCAGATTCAAATTAGCTAACATTTCAACCACATCAACCGGATATCAAAACATCGCTGTGATTATTCTCAGTTGTGTGCCTTCATTGAAACATAACTTTAGGCAGTGAAGAACGAACACTTTGGGAGACGAGATAAACGAAAGAAGAATAAGTTAGTTTATGTATGAAGTTTTATCTCATATTTTGAGAGGTCATAACCCCTTATTCAGTTTTAGGATTTCCTGTTCGATATGAGGGCTCTGGTGTACAGACTAAAAAAACTGAACTGAATTGAACTCAATCAGAAACCAAACATTGACTTATAAATTTTCACCCACATGAATCTCATAACTATCGTGCAGTTCTAATGATCGAAAAGGAACTATTTGTTGAAGTGCAGAGGTTGTCTGTTTCCGGTGCTATTATTGTTCGGGCCGGTGCAACTCATTCTATCTCGTAAGAAGACAAATCAACTTAACTGCGTTTTTTAAATAATAAATTTTGCTTTCCGTTCAACTTGATTGGGCAAAAGTCGAGTCAATGAGATATATAGATAAGGATATTACACAGCGAGGTTATTTCTGGTGTGGCATACAATAGTATTTTCTGCAGCCGAAAAAAACAACATACGGAAAAATGCACTGAGTATAATAATAATCGAAACGTTCATTGGAAAAATTACAAGGACATCTGAACCAATAACTGTCAGTGAATACTAACCGCGGCCAACTGTGAAAGTTCATTCCCACGCCCTCATTGGGGGCCTAAAAGATCTCGCACCTCATTTAATATGATCAAGTGTTATTTATCGGTAGAGTGAGTTAACACTACACCCATTAAAGCGCTGCATAAAATCATGAAAATTTACTTTATTCATCTTCGCGGACTGCTAGGTAGTTTTTTATGTGATCAGTGATAATTAAATATCTTCGGTTGAGTTCAAGGAAGGATTGAACCGGACACAAACAATCTCCTCGTCGCCTGTGATATGAACCACAACAAGAATGCATTTAAGGGAATCTATTTACAGTGAAATTGTTACAGCAAAACTTCTACGAAGAATAAAGGAATTACTATTTGGACAAATAAGTTACACTTGATTTTTGGAAAAAGTTGGTTGACAAATGAGTGGGTTTCCAACAGACAGATTTCTAGGAAAAATAGACTTATCGACAGAGGACCAACTATGAGTCATCTTTTCCTTCCTGTTGTATCTCTTTCAGCCGATTAAATATGGTTCGAAAATATATTAACTATGTATTGATTGTAGCACACTCCATCACTATTTAACATATTTCCGAAAGATGGTTAGTTGAAAGACTAATTAATAAGTTACCTATCATATAGGTGTGTTTAATTCAAAAGGACTGAAATCTTATAATAGTACAGATTTTTGATCAAACAATAATAAAAGTTGTTGCGCTCAAATCAACCACGATTTTGCTATGATTTCATGCCTTGAATAGCAATATGAATAAATAGAACAAGAAAACAATGAAATTTCGCTTTCTTCACAATGCATCAAACTGTGGGAAAAGTCCAGTGGAGTCCCGAGATTAGGAGAACAGTATTGATTGGTGAAAATGGAGTACTTGTCCAAATACATAACCTTAGGAAATACTGGCTTGTACTTCGCATGTCACCTACTATGTTTCCTTGGTGTTTAAGATTCACTGAGATGGGAAGTGGTTTGAAGTTCTAGAGTGAAGCTGCGAAAACATCGATCAAGGTATCATTCAGGCCACTTCACGTTTTTCGGTTGGATTCTTTGGGACGGGATATTTCAGTGTTTTCCAATCAATTTAAGGAGCTTCAAAAGAAAGAATTCCTAACAATGAACGAAGTTCAATAATGAATATATGCCTGAATATTTTGAGTGTGTTTGGGTATTTGCAACGAAATTCATGATTTCGCGATACTTTCAGTGGTGTTTGTCACTAGTCATCCCATCAATAAAATTCTCATCTGCATTGGAATGCCTGAAAAGCATAACCAAACCGAAACAGTTCTATCGATATCGGTCTATCGGGGCCAGTCTTTAGGAAACATCAATAACAAGATAAAATCGTTGGCCTTTAAACCAGGACGAGCAGTAGTACAGAAGAGCGGTACAGTCAGCGTGAAAGATCACAAATTGGGGAACGCGATCTCGAAGAATGACTAGTTGTCTGACCCCGTTTGAAGGAAAAGACATCCTGCAAAGGTTTTGTGAACGATTTTAATATGAGCAGACCAAGAAAGTTATGGTTGAGAGTAAAAATAAGGCATTCAGCTGAGTCAGATTTGGTAATATCCATATAACTGAAAACAAATCCAGAGGGACTATTTGACAGAGTTCGATAACATAGGTTAGCTTTGAAACGGAATGAAACATCAAGGCACTTACTGATGTTGAGCACACAAAAGCCTGGCAAGAATCAATTACGAAGCGCACAAAACACACCTACACCTTGGCGGTACTGGCAACTATCACCAACTCTATCGGACTTTTAGGTTCACTGGGCACATTAAACGTCTGACTCCTTCCGAAAGACATACAATCTGATGAAATGGACACCTAAATTGTGGGTTAGGATATGGTTAGCCGAAGGATTCCGTTATAAGTTCCCCAAGAAACGCCATTTGTTGTTGACAGCATAACAATTCACAAACTGATTTCTTTGTTATGAAGGTGGTTACAATGTACATTTTGGCTTACAGTCTGGACTTCGAAAGGTAGAAAATATCATTACTAATTAATACGGAGTTGAGATTCTCTGACTCTGGAGACCTGTAGCTCATTCAGGAGCCGCTTTTGCGTCCCTTTGTCGAATACCTTGCAAAAGTCAATAAGGATAACACCACCTGCCATGGAGAATGTCCATCGATATCGAGCAAGTAGCAGATTACAGGCAAAGGATTACTGCCCACAGAATCCATGCTACTAGGAACGTAGAAATTCGTTGGATAAAATTTCTCCCTTACCCATTTAGCGATGACGTTTCTGTGCTTAATAAATCTCTCAGGTGAGATTAATGGGGTGATATCCAGCAGAGTAAACAGGACCTCCTGCCTTAAGTAGTGGGCATACGCTCAGGGTTTTCCACTCGAGGGGGAGGGGGCAGCTTCTCCGTAATCCGTGTAGAATCATAGACGGATAACGTTTACTTTAAAAAGACAGGTATTGCATCAAGACCCGACCATGAACATGGTTTCAAGAGTTTCAGAGCTACCAGCACTTCGTCTTGTATGGTATTCATAACGAACATTTGTGGGGCTGTGCATGATATCTGGGGCCTCGATATTGACTGGTGAGCAAAGAAAAAAACCTATTGGCTAGGGCTCTATCTTTCTCATCGCCTGTTTTCACCAGGAACCTCGACACAGGCTTATCTGTTTTGGCCCTCATCTGACGCCGCAGATACTCACACTCTAGCTTGGATGTGATGATCATTCCGGTCATCAAGGTCTCCTCAAACCTCCATCGTTTTGGAGATTTTGAATGTACGCAGTCAACTCGTATCCAAGTGCACCATTTGTAACTTACATGATAATGAAAAGTGTTCTCCGATCCCGGATGCGGCATTTCAGTACACGACGCAAATTAAGGCTAAACGATTGAAGCCTCATGGTTTGTCGTCTGTGATGTTTGGATGATGCATATGCAACAAAACTTGCAGAATCCCTTCACGAATCATTGACCACGCGAACCGCACACCTCGTGAGCACCTTATCACCCATATCCGCATATTTCAAGCCCTCGTATTTTGCTTTCCAGAAGTATGATTCCGAATATGGTCTAACTCGTATGGGGCTTCTAACAGGTGATGTACCTCGGTACTGAATGATCACCAGAGAGATCACGAGAGGTGGAAAGTGGTCGATGCCCTAAACATCCGATGGTCTCGAGATTGGAACCAAATCAAAGATTGATTTCCAGCAAGGGTTGAACCTCGTGGGTCCGATAGCTTGTTTATATCGGGCCAACTTGGAAACAACTTCCAGTTACTTCATGGAAAACCGGTTCGCTCCCGACAGGCAATTATCTTTGCCCCAGTTAATGTGCAGTGCACTGAAGTCACCCAAGACAAGGTAGTGACTGCCGCGTACCCCATGGCAGGATAACCGATGCCTCCGCTGCGGGTGGTCTACTGCAAACACCGATCTTTGTGTAACCATTGCCATTGAGTTTCATCTTGCGCAGCTGGTTTCACCCCGCCCATCATTGTCAGCGCAGCTGTAGTAATGTAAAAATTGGCGTATTTCACTCACGGACCATGAAACACTGCAGCTGATCTGACCGGAAAATTGTATATCTTACTCTCTTTACTTTCACTAGTTGAAATATTCCTTATTCTGTTGATGGAACGTCGCCTCAGTGCAGCGCACCAGACACTTACTGCGACGCGCATGCCTCTCGTTTCTCGATCGTCTGTGGATATTTTCCACAGAAAAGAGGCCAAAGGCGAGGTTGCATTATCAGACTCGGAACTACTCCAATAATTCAAATTGTGGGACTCTATGATAGCCTTTATTGTTACAAATTAGACCAATCAACTTAAAAATGTGCATGAGCGACATGTTGCTCAATAGTTGCCGCAAATTCGTGAAATCAACTCACTTTGGCAAGGACATGAACGAAGTCAAAGATCCCATTGTTGTTATATCAATAAGTGCACGAGGAAAAAAGTAGAATTCTATTATTGTTATTTTAATAAATTGCAATTGGTTACCCTCCATGTCGCTCCCATCATTCTCCATTACTTTTGTTGTTGCATTGGTACCATACTTGTTCGCAAGTCGGTGTTATATATTACATATACATATATGTGTATCCATTCTCTGCCTGCATCCCTTTTATAGTCATTTTTCGGATTTTCTCTCAGCCTCCCTTGTTTCTACATGAACCCAGTAGAAGAGTTGGCTGAAAGACAGCAATCGGAGATGAGGCACAGGGATGACTACCAA